AAAGCTCATGTTTTCTCAAGGGAATCCAATTTATTTATTCATTTTTTTCCTTCTAATGATGCCTGAATAAAGTTGATTCACTAATCAGTTGAGCCGAAGGAAATTAAGGAGACATTTTGTTCATGAATTAGAACCATGTGATTAGAATCATTTTCGATTTACGTGTATTTTTTGTGAGAGAAAATACTATAGCGAATCACGAACCATGATTCGAATCAGAAGACGAATCCCCCAACCAAACAACCTCTAACAAAAGAAGAACGAAAAAACGGAGCTGACTATAATGTCTTGCTGGTGTGTGTCCCCTTCAGCATCTTTCTCCTCACAGCTTAAAGCGATGATTAAAGGGCTGTGCTAATTAATATATACAATCATGTGACGTAATATTCTTTTTATTTAGATTTCCATCTCAGAATTTTCTTCAATGAATTCGAAAGCATTGAATATTATGCTAAAATATTCTGCTGCCTAGAGAATATTATCGCTACATATTCAAAGACTGTGCTTCAGCTTAGTGCTTACACTTGAATAACGCAATTAGCCCATAAATATAATGATATTTGTACCAATAAATAAGGACCAAAAAACCGTCTAAAACCCATTAAGGGCACTAGCAGTTAAGACTAGCATTAGTACTGTTCTTTCATATTATTTGTCCCTGGAGCTCTTGTTGTCAACGTTGGAGATTTGCTTCAGATATTTTTTTTAATTCTTCAACTTTGCTTTTCAAGTTCAATCAACACTCAGGTCGTTTGGTTGGACTTGGAGGGATGAAGAGGAGGAAGAACGGAGAGAGTTGGAGGGATACAGAATAAGAAAATAATTTAGAGATTTTTATTCTTTTTGAGAAAAGTTGTGAACTCGCCCTTTGAATGTATCATTCTAAGGTTTGTACCTTTTTATTCTTGATTAATATATTCTAAGGTTTGTACCTTTTTATTCTTGATTAATATCCTTAATATAGTTCTTTGATTAAATGGTTCATCAAGTGTAAAAAATAAAAATTCAAGACTCATGCATTCTGAGGAGTATTTATCTCCTTTTTTTTTTCTTTTTTATCTTATTTGTTAAGGGAAGGGAGCTTGAAAATAAATGATAGCTATTTGATTAATTACCATATTATCTATTTATTAAATCTTTTTGGTACTTCTAATTATTTAAAAACATGTCTAAGTTATTCTTTATTTTTAATAATATTAAAAATAAAAAAGCTACTTGTACATTTAAAAAATCAATATTTTGATACCCGCAGGTCGATTATTGGGAACATTTTTTTTTTCATTACTTAAATATAAACCAATATATTTTATAAAAAACAATGAAATATTTTAAATTATTTATAAATTAAAAAGAAACATAAAATAAAAAATAGTTTTTGAAAAGAAACAAATGGATTTTATTACTTGATTGCTAAATCAGCAATTACATAAGAGCCAATAAACAAAAGCAGAGACTCAAACCAAATAAAAATTTGAGACTGCGCATAATTTGTAAAACTATGGGCTACATAATTCCCCAAAGTGTAGCAAACAGAATCACTAATGGAAGGATTGAATTTAATAGGTTATGAGGAAAACTACATCTCTCTATTTCTCATCTCCTTCCTTAATTATTTATAAAAATATCTATTTTTATTATTTTATTTACAAAAATACATACTATCGTACATATAAAAACGTTCATATCCTTACACAATGAATAAAAAAAGAAAAAACTAATGATTGAAAAAAATAGAAAAGACAAGACAATGGATAGTCAAATTTAAATACAAAAAGTCAAACAATTAAATTTAATGAAATCTAATTATTTCAAAAAAAGAAACTTATTTTTAAAGAAACAAAAAAAAAACCTACCAAATACTTTTTAATTAAATAAAAACAAAATAAGTCTGCAACAAAATAAATCTATAGACAAGCAAATAAAACAATAAATAAAAAATCTCTCGCATTTTCATATGAAAGCAATTCAAAACAACTAAAATGCACGAAAACATGAGTCTGTAATCTATTTATTTCATTATGTTAAGGAATTTGAAAATTATGGTAAAGATATAAAACAAGATAGAAACAAGCAAACAAAACAACAAATAAAAAACCTCTCGCATTTGCATTATCTTAATGATGATATCATTAGAAAACCTAAAAACCTAAAACATGCAAACAAAAAGAAACTATTCCCCTTACACAACTATTCGCGCAGCACTGTACGCCCGTTTTGTTTTCTTTCTTCTTCTTTTTTTTTTTTTTTTCAAATATGACGCTGCACTATTGAGTCTAAATTCAAAGAAAATACGAGAGGAAAAATCTAATAATTTAAAGACAATAGCAGTATTAAATCAAAAGGTTATTACAGAATAATAATTAGGGTTAAAATGGTAATTTTTTTTCTTTTGTTGATTTCTCTATATGTTGCTGCAAATATGACGCTGCACTATTGAGTCTAAATTCAAAGAAAATCTTTTGTTGATTTCTCTATACGTTGCTGCAAATATGACGCTGCACTATTGAGTCTAAATTCAAAGAAAATACGAGAGGAAAAATCTAATAATTTAAAGACAATAGCAGTATTAAATCAAAAGGTTATTACAGAATAATAATTAGGGTTAAAATGGTAAAGTCAAAACGGGGTAAATTATAAAAAATAAAAAAAAATAAAAAAAAATCAGCCCAAATAATGAAAACATCATATAAGGAACATACTTAAGATAATGAATAGGAGTATATCCGGCATTTCATGCACCTTATTATTTAAAAATAGGAATTTTTGTAATATTAAAAATAAGTGGGTATTTTTAGATTCAACGCTTTAAAAGTAGCATTTGTGTAATTATTTCTAATGTAAGAGTAAAGTTTATTTATTTAATTATTTATTTTATGTTTAATCTCCTCACAATAATAATTAGAATGTTTACTTTTTTCAGCACAGCTCTCATATTATTGTATGTTCTTAAGGTCAAATACACAAGTTATGTAAAAATCAAAACGTCAAATTGATAATTTTTAACAGAGTGTGCGGTTGTGACGCAGCAATAATAGAACACAATTCAACGCCATTTAGATTAAATAGATGGTGAGGTATAGATGAAGGGGACATAAAGGAAGATGCACAACACATCCGTAACGTGTAGAAATTTAAAAAGGAAATTGTTATGTTTGTGTGTCTGTTTGTTGTACGTTTATAGAGATGTGTGCCAGGATGAAAGCTACAAATTTCTATGATCAAGTGAGAACGATATATATATATATATATATATATTATTAGTCCGTTTAATTCGTTAATTCAAATGTTAATTTAAATTTTTAATTTGACTTGAGATGTGATTTTATGTGAGAGCTTTTTACTGTAACAAAAAAGTTAAATGTAATTATTTTTGAGAATTTTTTACTGAATCAAAACTCAAATTATAAATTTAAATCAATAAAATGAACAAGACTTATGTAAATAAAATACTGAATTTAGAAAGTTTTAGGGAGCAAATAAGATTTTAACGATGTGATAGTATAACAGTGTAGATAGCCATATAACTATGGTTGAAAGACAATAGACAGGGACGGATTTGCCCCTACTGCTCTCTGTGTAAATCCATCCTCATTGCTATAAAAAAAGAATACAACAATTTTAAAATAAAATCAAATGTATTTTAATAGTGTTTGTGTTTCTTAATCAATTTTTATACTTTTTTTGTAATGTGTATTTAAATTATATCTCACAAAAAATCAAAAGAGTCACTTCAAATTAAGGAAAAATTGAAAAACTGTGAAAACTAATATTAAAGTGAAATAGCACGATTAAACATGTAGGCTATCGCAACACAACACATAAATGGAGGTGAAAATAATACCCGTGGCAACGGAGCTCCACTCCGAACAGGGTGGGGATGGGGGACAATTATTGGGGACGGAGCAACCGGAAGCGGAGTCACTCTCGATGCTGTTAGGAGAGGCCTCCGTGTCGTCCTCGTCAAGCATGAAGATTTCTCCTCCGTAACATCTCTGCGCTCTACAAAGCTAATGTTTCAAAAAGATTCCCAGATTTTAATAGTTTGCTATTTAGACCCAATTATTAGAAATTTGCTACTAAGTCCATTCAATAAATTCAAATTTAAAACAAAATTTTTGGGCGTTACACTCCCTAAACAATATCTGACATCAAACTAGTTAGACTTGTATAATTTAATTAATGATGTGATTCATCAATAAGGTTCTTAGCTAGTCATGGCTATCACTTTCAATTAAACTTTTTATGACTGACAATGAAATCAGCCCAGTATGAAAAGACTTAAGGAGTTTGTTAATAATTTTAGACATTACAAATGGAAAATGTAACAATTTCTCAATCTTTTTTTTTTTGGTTCAAATTATGTCAAATGATGAGTACAAAAGCTTGGAGCACAGAGTGTTGGCCGATTCGTGCCGCGAACCATGAGTTTCTGTTGCAGTTTTCTTCAGCCTGGGCGATAGAGAGAGAATGTTAGGTCTGCTGCCAGAGGTGATATCACCGGAGAAACCGGCTGTCTACCGCCCGTTTAAGCAATCTAAGTTCCTGCAGTTGACGCAGAAGTCCATCACCAAGGAGGTTGATGGCAAGTCTTTGGGAAATCACTTAAGGCTGTAAATACTTTATACTATGTAAAGGAAATAAAGGAATACTTGTGCTCAGTTGCCTAGACAACAATTTGACGTATGGAGCAATAGTTATTTATGTGCTTGAATGCTTTTCACTTTTCGCAAATGAAAATTTTTAGTGGACCATCTATTTTGTTGGGCGATCCTAAACTGAAATGTTTATAAAATGCCAGAGCATTGTTGTTCACATACAAGTTCTATTAACATGAACAGTTAAGTATTATGACTGAAAATAATGATTCTCCTGCAAGAAAGAAAAGAAAAGGGAAACAAAAAAATCTATTTGAAACAGAAAATTAACCTCGCGAAAGAAGAAATGCTCAAAAAAGACAGCAAATTGTTTCTCGTTCTTTTCATTCTTTTTGAGGTGGAACAATTTCTGTTACTATTGGATTTTTCTTGGTGAATCTTTTTCAGAAGGTTATCACAAACAGAAAGTTTTGATTTCGATTTACCTCAAGCAAATCTCAATCAATCTTGAGACACAAGGCTTTTTCTTCCTCACTTTCCAGGTCCGAACCATTCGGCCATTTCTTCATCATCAGCATATTTTGGTAACTCTAACCTTCTTTGAGTACTGATAGATGTGGGTTGAGCATCACTTTTGGCCTTAAAGACACCTTTACTCCGGTCTATCATCTCCAACTTCCATTTCTCTCTCTTTTCTGCATCCCGAGATAAATCACTTAACCCTCCGGCAATGGGAAAATCTACAAAATCAGAAGCCTCATTCATTGAGTTTGGATAACTATGTTCTTCACTTTCTTCCACAGATCTCCGTATGTTTGCGCTACTGTTTTGGATTTGTCCATGTCGCCATGAAGACGTTTGAATGTTGACATCGGTATGGTCACTATGAAAAGAACTCACTCTACTGTTTTCCCGGTAGCCTACATTTTCAAGTTGGTTTTCAGAACTTTCGGAAGAATTTGCTGCCTTTGGCCTTCTGTGGTCACATTTTAAGCATACCATGTTTCTCCTAAAATTGATGTAGTTGCACCTTATTTGAAAAAGAAAATTAACCTCACGCGAGAAGTAATGCTCAAAAAAGACGCAAATTGTTTCTCGTTCTTTTCATTCTTTTTGAGGTGGAACAATTTCTGTTACTGCTGGATTTTTCTTGGTGAATCTTTTTCAGAAGGTTATCACAAACAGAAAGTTTTGATTTCGATTTACCTCAAGCAAATCTCAATCAATCTTGAGACACAAGGCTTTTTCTTCCTCACTTTCCAGGTCCGAACCATTCGGCCATTTCTTCATCATCAGCATATTTTGGTAACTCTAACCTTCTTTGAGTACTGATAGATGTGGGTTGAGCATCACTTTTGGCCTTAAAGACACCTTTACTCCGGTCTATCATCTCCAACTTCCATTTCTCTCTCTTTTCTGCATCCCGAGATAAATCACTTAACCCGCCGGCAATGGGAAAATCTACAAAATCAGAAGCCTCATTCATTGAGTTTGGATAACTATGTTCTTCACTTTCTTCCACAGATCTCCGCATGTTTGCGCTACTGTTTTGGATTTGTCCATGTCGCCATGAAGACGTTTGAATGTTGACATAGGTATGGTCACTACGAAAAGAACTCACTCTACTGTTTTCCCGGTAGCCTACATTTTCAAGTTGGTTTTCAGAACTTTCGGAAGAATTTGCTGCCTTTGGCCTTCTGTGGTCACATTTTAAGCATACCATGTTTCTCCTAAAATTGATGTAGTTGCACCTGAACACAATATATGTCTACTGTTTGTGAAACAAGATTCAAACATAAACCATTTCAAAGTGTAATATATTATCAACCAAAAAAAAGAGAGCCAAAAAAATACTTCAAAGGACGTTATAACAACTCACGATGGACATTCCCATTCTCCTGGATTAAGATGCCGCTTTGGAGGATTCTCTTTGCATTGCAAGCATTTTGTGTTCCTCGCGAAATTCAAGAAATTGCATCTGTGTAATAAGAAACTCTCGATAAGAAACAGAACAACAAGAAGGGTAAAGGTCTATGAGATCACTAGCCATTACTTGTCACATATCCAGTCCCCTTTCTTCAACGGAAGATGATCCTGATCCTCCCTGAGTTGCTTCAGTCTTTCTTGGTATAAACCATCACAGCGCAAGCACTTGATATTTTTGGCAAAGTTTAGGAAGTTGCATCTGCAAAAATGAAAGATTAATAAGGTGAACCAGTTCAAGAAAAAAGACACAACAACGTGAAAAGTTAAATCAGAAACAAGACGCTTCCATATTTACTTGGGACAGAGCCAGTCGCCTTGCTTCATCGGAACATTTACGTGGCCTTTTCCTTGTGAACTTGAATGGATGTTCACTGGTACACCTTTTTCCAATGTTGACTTAGGGGAATGAAAATCCATGACCCGCATGCTATAGTCTACCATCTGCTTCAACAGGCTTCTTACCGATTCTTTTACCATTTTGTTGAGACACGGCTTGTTTTCCACTGTACCAGAGATGGGATCAAGCCCATACGTTAACAAGAAACGCATAACATCCACGGTCCGCCCACCTTTGTCTTCCTGTGCCTTTACATATGCCCTTTCGCAGTCACCTCGCAAATTGCAGGAGCTGCAAATCTACTACAATGCACGCTCCTATTAGATGATGAATGCCTACCTATTTGATTAGTTGGAAAAATAATTCTCTGGCATGTTTCATTTCATTATTTTAACAAGTAGATACCAAAAAATACCAAGACTGAATGTTTATTTTTACTTAATGGGAAAACTTTAATAGGTTAATTTAACTAAAATGCATAAATGAGAAAAATGGCAACATACATCTCCTTCATCGACACCCACGTGTGCCCTTAGCCGCTTCCCTGAATTCACAACTTTCCTGTCTAGACTTGGGCATCCGCATCCTGCAATGACCTGAATGTCTTTCCTCGATAAAAACCTGCAGCAAAGTCCTTAATATAATCTGTTTCTGAAAACAAGAAACCTCGCATTCCATAACAAACTTATTTTTCCAACTTCCAGGCCTGGAGCCAGTAAAACAACGACATTACCAAACACACCTATTTAGAATCACTTTACGGCCTGCATATTCAAGTCCTCCAGTAAACTTATAATCAGTGTTTTAAAACTAGACCAAACCAAACACACCAATTTTCCCAAATCTTTTGGTACAGAGTGTTAGAGGTTGTTAGTTTGTTACTAATTCAGTTGTTTAGTTATGGTTCTGTTGTAATTAGTGAGTTTGTTAGAAGCTTAACTATAGTTAGCTGTAAGCTTAGTTAGTTAACCATATGAGTAGTAGACTGTATTTAAATAGTCTTGTAATAAGTCTCAGATTAAGACATTCAATAATAGAAGTTTATTTCATCCAAAAATCCTTTCTCTCTCCTTTTTAGTTTCTATCTCTACTTTGTTCCTTAATATGGTATCAAAGTGGGTTGACGAAGAAGATTGAAGCTCAACTTCTGCAACAATGGCAGATGCAGCATCTTTGAAGTTTGTTCCAGTGTTCTTTACTCATCCGATTTCTTCCAAACTTGATCAGAACAATTTTATTGTTTGGAGAAAGCAAGTTCTTGCGACAATCAGAGGTCATCGACTCCAAAATTATCTTTTTGGGTCAATTCCACCGCCGGCGAAGTTCTTAGCTCTTGGTGATGAGATTCTTGGTAGAATTAATCCAGATTATCTTGATTGGGAACAGGAGGGCCAGCTCATTCTTTCTTGGCTGCTGGCATCCATGTCGGATTCAATTCTCGCTCGCATGGTTAATTGCGATTCTTCCGTTCCAAGTTTGGCGTACTTTGGAAGTTTATTTGCTCAACAAGTTCGTACAAAGGTAACACAATTCAAAACTCTTCTTCAAAATACAAAGAAAGGTTCAATGAATATCAATGATTATCTGCTCAAATTTAGGGGCTATGTTGATCTTCTTGCACTAGTTGGTCACAATCTTACTACAAAAGATCATGTTGATGCAATTTTTGAGGGTGTACCTCCGGAATACGAAACTTTTGTCACTTCGGTTAATTCTTGTATGGAACCCTACTCTGTGGATGAGATTGAATCTCTATTGCTTGCTCAAGAAGTGAGGATTGAGAAAAATACTACTTCTTTGGAGGCCAATTTAGCTGCTAATGGCTTTCCTGGTCACTTTTCCATTCGAGGACATTTAGGTTCTTCTCGTGGTGGTTTTTCTGGTGGTAGAGGCTCCTTCTCTCAGGGTCATGGTCAAGCTCATGGCAGAGGACACTGGAATACTGGTGGGAAGGTTCAGTGCCAACTCTGTGGACGAGTTGGTCATGTTGTGCAAGATTGCTATTACAAATTTGATCACACTTTTCATGGGCCTGCTTAACTTCATGGAACTATTCAAGGCAATATTGCTCAGTATAGTAGTCCTACCTCCACTTTTAGTCCTCCTATTCACGGCCAACCTGGCACTGGTGCTTATGCTTTTGGTTATGAAGATCCTTCTATGTTTGCCATGATGGCCACTCCTGAATCTGTTCTTGATGACAGGTGGTATCTCGATTCTGGAGCTACAAATCATCTTACATTTGATGCTTCTAACCTCATGACCAAGGCCAAATTCCATGGCTCAGAACAGGTTCCTATGGGAAATAGTAAGGGCATATGTATTAAGCACATTGGTGATTCCGTGTTTCCATCTCCGTTTATGTCTTCTAAAACTTTCTTTAAAAAGTCTTCTTCATGTTCCTGAAATAACTAAGAATCTACTTAGTGTGTCTAAGTTTGCTCTTGACAATAATTTATATTTTGAGTTTCATGTTTTTTCTTGTTTTGTCAAGGACAAGACTTCTCATCATAGTCTACTGGAGGGGAGACTTAAAGATCGTCTATACGTCTTTGATCACTCCCAAATCAAC